AAGGAGAGAGACGGAAGGGACGAAAGGGGAGAGACAGGGGAGGAAGACGGAGGGTGAAAGGGAGAAAGAAAGATAGGTGTGAGGAGGAAGACAGGAGAAAGGTGGGGTTGAAAGAGGAGAACGTAGGGGTGAAGGAGCAAGAGACAGAGGCTGAAAGAGCAGAATAAGGAGATGAAGAGGTGAAGGGAGGAGTCATTGTCCTTGGTCCCCTCCTGGTTGAAATAGTAGAGGTGACGGTACTTGTTTGGGTGGAGTCAGGGCGTCGTTGAGGGGGTGACAGTGAATTGGGGGGTGTTAGTAGAGGAGGTGGGTGTGGAGAGATGGTGATAACTATTAAAGAAATACTAAGATTTGTTCGATCTCTCTCTCTCTCTCTCTACTGTGATGAGATGAGGGCAACTCTGTTGGTAACTTCCCTCATCCTCCCTCCTCTCCGTTCCTCCTCCCTCTCCCTCCGCCCCCCTCCCTCCTTCATAGCTCCCCACTCCCCGTGCAGACCATGTTCAAGCCCGTGGATGTACACTCTGTTGTACACACAAACGCATACATGGACATACTTTCACGGAGAGAAACAGTGCACATGTATATACAACTGTAAACGTTGGCATGTACACAAACATAATTATCACAGTCAAGTACACACACACACACACACACACACACACACACACACACACACACACACACAGGCCACCCCTTTCAACAGTTAATTGTCATGGTGTATCCCCTATACATAGTTCAGCTATAAACCAGCAAATAGATGTAATATTTTCTGTATTTAAGTGAGTGTAATATTGAGCAATAGATTATGCAATATGTGTACACAGGTGACGAGTGTTGGGGGAGACCGGGCTCGTGTCAACGGTTTGTTATGAGTCGCATTTTTCCCCAGTACGAACATTTATTTTTCTTTAAGGGGAATTATCCCACCCGGGCACAGGTCGAACTACCCACAACGGGGCCTGGGGGGCGAAAAACTAAGAACAGAAAGAAATAAAAAATATAGAAGAAAAAGGTTATACTGTGTTATTTATTCTACACCACGAAGATGACGGAAAACCAGCTTTTTAAAGTGAGACAGATTCTATAATTAAGGAAACACAGAAGAAGGCAGAGCATTCCACAGTTTGGCTGTGTGAGGAAAGAAGGATGTATTATAACGGGTTATTCTAGTGTGACCGACATCCACAGAGAAACGGTGGGCACCGCGGGCAAGACGTGTGTTACGAGCCCACGGCCTTGCCGGCGGTACACAGGATGCCAAATCCACCGAAATATTGCCCGTTAAAGTACCTGTAAAGAAGAGAGTGAAGCAACATTGTAGCGAAGAGAAATGGAAGCGAGTTAATGAGACGAAATGCCTTTGATTCCACCCTATCTAACAGTTGGACAGAAGAAGAGCCACCCCAGATGTGAGAGCAGTACTCCAAGTTAGGACAGATGAATCCCTTATATACTTGAAGCAACTGGTCACTAGTGATGTAGCATCTATACAGCATTCCCAGGTTTGGGGAGGCAGCTTTAGCAATGTTGTAGATGTGTGGCTTCCATAACATATTAGAGGAGAATCACCAGCGCAAGATTGGATAGAATTAGTTGTAGTGTGAAGTAAATCATTGTTTAACAGAAGGAAGAGAGTAGATGAAAGAACAGAACCCTATGGGACACCACTATTGGCAGAGAAACAGCGAGAGATCGATTCCTCGACAACAACTGCCATGAATCGGCTCTCAAGGAAGCTAGAAATTAGAGAGCAAAGTGGGGGAGAAAGAGGAAATTTAGAAAGCAAAGACTTGTGTCATACCCTGTCAGATACTTTGGAGATGTCGAGGGCCACAGAGATAGTGAAGAAAATATATTAAGCGAGAGAGTGGTGACTAGTAACGATGTTAGTAAGCAAATAGATAAATTAAAACCTACCAAGTCACCAGTTCCCGACGACATATTTGCCAGAGTGTTAAAGGAATGTAAGGAAGTACTTAGTATGTCCTTAGCAAACTTGTTTAGCATGTCATTAAAAACCGGTGTAGTAACAGAATCCTGGAGGATAGCGAATGTGATTCTAATTTTCAAGAAGCGAAATAGATCACTATCCTCTAACTACCATACAATTACAGTAGTCTAACATCAATTGTGGGCAAATTACTGGAAGCAATAATTTCAAACTTAATTCGAAATCACTCCGAGAATCACAAATTGATCAATGATTCCTCTCATGGCTTCACAAATGGGTATTCATGTCTGACAAATCTATTATCATTCTTGTCAACTGTCTTCGAATCAGTGGATGATATACATGATTACGATATAGTTCACCCCGACTTTAGCACAGCCTTCGACAGAGTCCCACAAAGACTAACGCCCGGAGTTTTAAACACCCTCTTCCGTTGTAGAGGGTCGTCGTGTTCTCAACCCAGTTTTAAAAAAAAAAGGTCAAAGGACACCGCAGTACAGTACTTGGCGGTAAAAATAACTAATTCCAATAAAATAAATTAAATTTAGAATATTGGAATTAGTTCATTACGTTAAGTACTGTACTGCGGTGTCGACAGCTCAAAGTGGAGGAACATGGAATTGGAGGATATATTCTAAACTGGATTAGGGTGTGGTTACAGGACAGGAAACAGAGTCAGCAATAATAGCACTAAATCCAATTGGGGTAACGTCGCTCAGTACTTGGACCATTACTATACATAAACAACATAGATATAGGCGTAGACTGGAACATAAATAATTTGCTGACCAGACTAAAATAGAGCATATAATTGAATCTGACGAGGACTCCGAGACACTACAGAAAGATCTAAACAAATTTTTCGCATGGTCTAAAAACTAACAGATAAAATTTAGTGAGACAAATTTGAAGTACTTAGCCAAAAACATGTAAACAGAAACCAGATATCAGATGAACAACGTTGATATAGAAATCCGACTGAAATATTTGGGGTAATGATAAGTAGGAATCTTAAACCAAGACAACAATGTGTATTTGGTCGGAAAAAAAGCTAACCAAGTACTTGGGTTCAAATTAAGGAGTGTTAGTTACAAGACTAGCGAGGCTATTCTAAAACTATATCTTCCGCTTGTTTGACCTCACTTGGATTATGCAGTTCAGTTTTGGTCACCCGTACTACAGAATGGATATCGAATCCCAAGAAAGCATACATAGGAGGATGACAAGACTAAGTCTGGGCATTAGGAACCTTAAATATAGGAACAGACTAAAGCATCTGAATTTGCACTCCCTCAGGGACAGAGTAAAGGGCAATATGGTTGAGCTGTATAAATGGAAGTCAGGGTTAAACAAAGGTGATATATCGAAGGTAATTAAATTATCAACCAGAAGCGAACTCGTAGCAATGGTTTTAAATTAGACAAATTTAGATTTAGGCGTGAGATAGGTAAACACTGGTTTGGAAATAGAGTAGTGGATGAGTGGAACAAGTTACCGAACATCATCATTAACTCGAACACGCTGGATAGCTTCAAATATTTGTTGGACCAAGTGGGGAGTGAAGCCAGCGCGGGCTGGTGGCCGTCATGGGGTAGGGTGCTGGCGCCAGTACAAGCAACTTATCTTTAATTATTCACCTTTCGTTACTGGCAAATAAAATTGAGTCAGTTTTGTAATACATTAAAGACTAAATCATACACAATTTATGAAATAACAGGTCATGCATTGCTTCTCGTGACTCTGCATACATTACCTACAATCCAATGAACAAAACCAACTTATTATGGAATTGGCGACTCTTATAGTTTTTCTCTTTGTGTATATTAAACGTGTATTATTTTCTTGCTTAAGAATACCTTACTGCAGGGTAAATTTCACAGAGCTACTTTGATCAATAAAAAAAGATGATTGCTTAATGGGTCTGTGTCAGCGTCACGGCTGGCAGGTATTTATGTTGTGACGGGGCATTACTTCCTTTGGCACCCACAACAATCATCTTACAGCCAGGTGAACAGAGGCAACGGGTGTAAAAAGACCTGCCTAGTTTCTCGCCCTGCCCAGGGATCGAACTTGAGATCATTCTGTTGTGAGCCTTGAGAGCCGAGTGCACTACCATTGTGCTACAGAAATTTAGTTGTAACACTATTTAAAAAAAAAATCTTCAAACACCAGTGTTCTACTCCGATGATTCCTGCCAACCATTTACTGTCACATACTCATTCTATCTTACACCGCTGAGATAACGCAAACAAACTTTAAAAACTACTGGACAACTCTACGTACGGCGCACGTCATCGATCAAGGCAGCGACGATCACGAAACGAGTGAATGAAATTCATCCACTCCCCTCCATACTGGCTGTAACGTCACAAAAGAGCTCCGCGCTCATTGGTAGAGGGAAGGGCTGGTCGTCACATCCTCCCGCTATTAAAAGTCGGGATCGACTACACCATAACAAAAAGAAAAAATATCAAATCACAGAGAAACTTTTCACCTGACCGGCCATTTCATCTGGACTGTCAGTAACTCACCATCATATAACTCACTCATACCATAATTCATCCCAAATCAAACAACACCAAGAAGAAAGAAGACCACCAGAGTACCAAGAACAAGACCATAAGAATAACAAGAAAAGAAGAAACAAGACCATCAGATTAGTTGTACCATCAGAGTATTGGAGTAATGTGGCAAGAAAGAAGACTAAGAATAGAAGAAGAAACCTCAAGAAGAAGAAAGAAGACACCAGCTCCGGCCGAAATAGCCAAAAGGCGAAGTGGTCAGTAATCCCCAAACAAGGAAAAGTGCCGGCGTCACACAGAAGACAGTAGCAGCTTCTACTCCCACACCAGGCAAGGTTCCTGAGTGCGGTCTTAGAAACAACAGATCTTCACAACTCCACCTCATGGCTGCCACGACAAGTTCCCGGTGTCCCACGGGATCAAGTACTAGCTTGACCTAGCAACACGCCCCCGGGGAACACCTTCAATCATCTTAAGTAACTACTACACCATCTTTAAAAAGTAACTACTCAAGCAGATTCTATTTTTTGTAAGGAGTACTAGATCCGTCAAACCTCCCTCGTCAAGTTACAGCACCATCATAAAGTAATTTGTCAAGACGAGTTTACTTTTGTTAAGTAGTTACTAGACAAGTGACACTAGTCGTTCATCACCAAACATCATCAAACAGTCGAGCTCATCCTTCGAGAAACAACTTGACGGCAGTGGTCGTCGGTGAAGCAGTATGGAGGAGAACAAGTTCTTGGTGCTTGCACAGAACCGGCAGTTCTTGCCGTTCTTCGCGGAGGAGGAGAAGGAGTGGCAGGAGCCGTTCGTGTTCATCCAGGCGGCAGACACACAGTTCGGGATGCAGGAGAAGTACATAGAGAAGAAGGAGAACTATGGGTGGCAGCAGGAGATAAGGTGGTCGAGACAGATGGTGGAGGACGTGAATACCATGTTCCCGCGTCCCAAGTTCCTGGTGGTGTGTGGCGACCTGCTGGACGCCTGGCCCCACACAGAGGAGGAGATTCGTCGCCAGCAGGAGATCGACTTCAAGGAGGTATTCGCCGGCCTTGAAGTGCCCCTGGTGTGTGTGTGCGGCAACCATGACGTGGGCAACACACCCACTCCTGCCACCGTCAACCGCTACACCTCCTCCTTCGGCGACGACTACTTCAGCTTCTGGTGCGGCGGTGTGTTCTTCATCGTCCTCAACACACAGTTCTACGAGGATGCCTCCCAGTGTCCCCAGTTGGCGGAAGAGCAGGAGGCGTGGCTGGAGGAGCAGCTGGAGGTGGTGAAGAGGGAGAAACCACAGCATGCTGTCGTCTTCCAACACATCCCTCTCTTCCTCCACCACCCTGACGAGGACAAGGATTTAACTGCCGACTGGTTCGACAGTTAGATGACATCACGTCTTAAGAGTGAGAGAAACCCTCAACGTGGACTCACTCAATATTTATTAATTGATATGGTCAAAACCTGTAACGAAGAGACACTAGTTAACTACTGATTACATTCCATTACATGTATAAATTATACATCAGTTAGTAGATACATTATTCTGTATAGTTATTATCCAAATTGCTTTACAATATGCACTTATGTAGTTCCCAACACATCACCACAATACAAACAATCACTGTTCTTTCACTCACGCGTGCGGGCTTACAGCTCCACTTAACTCCTAGTATCACTCCAAGTAACTCTTGGTTATAGCTAGTGTGTGTACACTCAAAGGGGTTAGACGATACTGCCAGCTAGAGGTATCCCGAGCCCTATCGAAGTCGTACCAACACAAAGATTTGTTGTGCACCCACACACATCTGGAGAGATCACAGGTCGGGCGATCAGTTGAGAGGTCCTGCCGTATGTTATCGTCTGACTCATCATCGTCTCCTCGCTTAGTACACAACAACACTTTTCTCATTACTTTTATCACTCTCCCATATTTGCAATAACACTTCGTGCGAGGGCGGCGATAACACTAACCCCGTTGGGCACATGCCCAAAACTCAGAACATTAAACGGCGCGCTCGAGGAGACAGATCATGGTAACAGGTCGGAGAAACTAGCGGACAGCAGTGCGCACACGAACCTGACGGACGAAACCATCTTCACTAGCAATCGCTTCGACAACCCGACCAAGGGCCATTTGCCACGAGGAAGGGTTTCTCCGGTTGTGAGAACAAGATTGTTGACTTTGAAGTTACGAACAGGCTGAAGATGTTTTGCCGCTTGCGGAGAATCGGTAGGTATTCCTTGACCCTGGGTCCAACGAAGATTCTCCAGTATCTAAAAAGCGGTTACTCCTCGTGCTGCATCATCTGCCGGGTTCTGCTATGAGCTGACATGTCTCCATTGCCTCATGTCTGTGACTTCTCTTATAGCCGACACTGTTTGCAACAAAGGTGTGGAAGAGTTTCTCAGCGTTACCAATATACTTCAACACTATCATACTATCCGTCCAAAACACAGAGTCCGCTAGTGGTACACTGAGTTCATGTCGCACTGCCGTGGTATGGTTTGTTGGTTTAAAAGTGCTAGTCGGGCTCTGCCACACACAAAGAAACAGTCAATTCTTCCTTCCCGGTCTACAGTCCTCAGGTAGGTGACAACTGCATAAGCTGATTGTGAAGAGCCGCAGAAGTGATGCAACTGAGCAGAAACAGTGCGGCTCAGACCAACTTGTGTTTAACAGCATGGAATGTTTGAAGTCCTGCAGCAGTTTCAGGTCCGACAACCAACACTGCCACAAGACTAGGTTGTGGTCAAGAAGAGGTACGTCCCAATTTTCTTGTCTTCTGCACTCGTTCCGGAAGGTGATCTTTGCCTTGATGGTGAAAGGACAGATGAATCCCAGTGGGTCATAGACAGAGCTTACAATGCTTAGACGGGTGCTGCTTTTCCATGGGATAGTGCTGAGTACTCCTTTGTGATTACTTATCCATTTTGTAAGCTTGAATCCCCTTCTTAGCAAGAGTTCTTGCAGCTGGTGTGCCATGGAGATTGCTTCCTCAGTATCAGTAACAGACACAAGCAAGTCGTCCACAAAAAAGCTCTCTCTAGCTCTGGTGGTCGTTACTGGGAATTGTGAACCATATTCCTGGAAAGTTCTCTGCAATGCATAAGTAGCACAAGATGGACTCCACACCCCTCCAAAGATATGCACTGTCATTCGGTAGGCAGTTGGGGTTCCGACAGGTCTCCATTTTCCCACCGGAGGAATCTTAGAGCATCCCTGTGTTCAGAGTGCACTTTGACCTGCTTGAAGATTTCGAAAAATATCTGTAATAGAAGCAAAATGCTGTAGTACAGCTGCATAGCCAAACAATTGTGCATTTTATGATGAAAGCATTAACTTTGGCACAGATATAGAGTAATACATGGTGAATATTTTCAGATATGGAACCACAAGGAACTCAACCTCTGTGGGCGCCATATTGAATTCAAGATGGCCACTGTTCAGGATACGCTAAACTTTGTATTTCTGTTTTTACCGTTGCATATTTCATTCCAATGCATCAATATACATAATCCAGGTTACGAGAATCATTTGTGATAGTTTTTGAAGTTTATTACAATGAAAAAAAAAGTAAAAGCATTACACTGGAAATTAACATGCAAATTTTCCGAACTCCCAAAACTTAAAAAAAATCTGAACATTCGGCTATTGAGGCCGAATCTCTGTAGATATTTTGGCCTTAACAGCCACCTTCACATGCACAAAGTCCAGTGCATTTAAGTGCAGCTTTTTTGCACCTACACTTGCCACCGCAGTGTTTTCTGCAACCGCAAGAGATGAGCTCGTGGCATGACTTTGACACTTCAGAGAGTGTGGTCCAGAGTGGTTCCAGCTCATCACCCGACTTCATCCAACCCCAGTCACACGGTGATGGCAGACTGACAAACGCTATTGCGGCCTGTCCCCAGATATGTCCAGCCTGATAAGCAGCTCTTTATGTGCTGCTCCAGAGCTGCTCGTGTTGGTGGGAGCTGCTCCAGTGCTGCTCGTGTTGGTGGGAGCTGCTCCAGTGATCTTGATTTTCTTGAAAACAGTTTCTTTCTCAGCACGTTCACGTCACAGCATGTGCTCGTACGGTCATAGAGCAGCACGATGAATCTCTCCAGTGTCGACAGGACACCATCAGGCAGCTCACTTGGGGTGGAAGCCAGACTGAAGAAGGCGGTTGTCACTTCCGGAAATGCATTCCATGTGGCCCAGGCTGCCTTCTTGCTATGACCTGCAAAGGCAGATACCGTGTCACAGCCTGTTATTGTGTGAAACACTGGAAGAGCTCTCGACTTCTCAGGTCCCAGGGACTTTGCAATCTGATGTGCTGCTATGTAACGTCGACTCTTTCCTGTGCCAAAACTAAGCCATATTTCATCTAGTACCTCACTCCGTTCATTCGCTAGAGCAACTGCAAGGATGACAACATCTGTATCGACGGTACGAATGATTATTCGCCGATGACCACATTAAAAGGCATCAGCTGCATGAGCCATCATCCTAGTGTCTGCCTCTTCGTGGTTGCATGGTGCCAAGTTGGCAGTGTCCTTCCGGGGTGGAACAGTGAGTACCTGTTTCTTGTCTGTGACAACCAGCTGTTTACTTTTTTGGACAACCAACTGCATAACTGTTCTGACAGGAAACTGAAGAGTTCGTCTTTGTTGTCACTGTTGCGAATAAAGTTTTGCCAGTTGCTAGGTAGAGGACCAGAGGCAGTGACGCGTCTTCGAATGCCCTTGCCACGGTTACATCTTACTGTGATTCAATATAGGGAATGAATACAGCTGTGCTGTTTTCTTGAAATGTCCTACTGCCTCCTGGCTTTAACATTTCCACAACAGCAGGTGCATCGAGTATAAATGAGGTGAAATGTGGAGCGTCAGTGATCTTGTCAGCAAGCTGTTCAAGGGGTGTGAGTAAGTCGGCCTTCTTGCTGAAGTGGAGTTTCCCATTACTGGAAAGTGCTGGTGGATAGGCCCGGTTTTCATGCTTGAAGAATTCGTCCAAATCACCCTCTCTTGTTTGACAGGCTATGTAGAGCCTGGAGAAGAGTCCACAGTCGTCTTTTGCGAAGGCTAGTTGCTTCCTACTCCTAGTTGGAGACTTGGATTTCATAGAACTGAATAGTGTTAGCTTGTTGAGCTTAATAGTGTCACCAATAGGCTTAGACTTGTCTTCAAGGCGTTCTCTTACATATGAATGGAATTGTTCTCGTCCAAGCTTGACAACATTTTGCACACTCTTCACGGCTTCTGGACACAAGATTTCCTCTGTATGAAGAGCCATTAGGTCAGCACTTTCTTCTTCAAATGGGTTTCCCATTTCTTCCATGACAAGTGTAAGTGCTTTCACATCCTGAAGAAACTTGTCCTTCGTCGTGTTGGTTTGCTCAGCTTTCTGCAATGATTCAAATTCAGCAATAACCCGTGCTACTTCTGGACCTGCAACCATCCACCGTCGAAGTGCACTAGGGTCTCCAGTCAAACCGACTGCATCACCATCACCTTTGATGCAGGCATTGTTCTGCTCATGGGCCTGGTCTAGTGCCATTGCAGAAAAACGGCGGGTTGTCTTTATTGCAGTGAAATGTCTGTATGTATATTATGTATGTTGTATGTATACCATATATGTACTCTATATATACACATTATTTCTCTAGTCAGTAGCGTGTGGCAATGCCCGCTTCATGTCACCACACTCTTAGATAAATGTGCCAGGCGACATCTGGAAGCTGCTAGCATACCACTTACCACATGTCGTCTGAGAGGTCAGAGTGAGGTCATTTGACCCATATAGGAGTGTAAGGACTACCCGCGCTTGTAAGCACACTCCTGTATATTTCCGTTAATAAGAACCTACAGAACTCTACAGGTGTTTATGTTCGCCCCTGTAGTTAGAACCAAGTAAGAACATAAGAACATAAGAATGGAGGAAACTGCAGCGGGCCTATTGGCCCATACTGGGCAGTCCCGTTTACACCCAACCCCTATTGCTCATATAAGCATCCAACCAATGTTTGAAGCTATTCAGCGTATTCGAGTTAATGATGATATTTGGAAACTTGTTCCATTCATCCACTACTCTGTTTCCAAACCAGTGTTTACCTATTTCACGCCTAAATCTAAATTTGTCTAATATAAAACCATTGTTACGAGTTCGCTCCTGGTTGGATAGTTTGAGTACCTTTGTAATGTCCCCTTTGTTTAGCCCTGCCTTCCACTTATACACCTCTATCAGGTCGCCCCTCGCTCTACGTCTCTCGAGGGAGTGCAAATTAAGATGCTTTAATGCCCGGGATTAGTCTTGTCATTCTCCTCTAAATTCTTTCCAAGGATTCTATATCCATTCTGTAATACGGTGACCAGAACTGAACTGCGTAATCCAGGTGTGGT